AAAAAATTGTGAAAACTGTTTGTAGGAATTGTAAGTTTGAAGATAGATGGGTTGTTGTTACCCCAGTAGGGAGTAGGGAAGGTCTTCTTTTGTGCTGGTCTGTCAATATTACAGTTGAGCAAATATTGTGGAGTGAATTCTGCATTGAAGTTCAATTCAAGTTTAAAAATAATGCTGAGTCTCATTGGGGTGTGTTTGTCCACTATCCTTTCTATTAGGATATCTCAGTGGAATTTTTTACTGAGGCATAGTCTGTTGTAGGGTAAATCTTGGTTTATGGGAGGGAATTTTAATGATATCCTCTTCAACAAGAGAAAATGAGTGGAGCCAGGAGATATGAAAGCAATTTTTATTGGTTTAAATCTCTGGTTAGAGGGTTGGGGGCTGTTGATAGTAAAGTGATTGCCCATCCTTTCAACTGGTCTAATCTTCGACATGGGCCTGACTTCATTGAGGAGAAACTAGACCGGTTCTTTTTTTTTCTCCTGACTGGATCAGGCTGTTTCCTAATGTTGTGGTCAATCATATTCCTCTCCACTCTTCTGATCATTGTATGCTTCTGTTGGATGTGGAGGGCCATAAGTCTAAGACTCCTAGGAGATTTTTGTTTGACAATAGATGGATTAAAGATGAGGGGCATGGGGATGTGGTTTCCAAGGCATGGAATACGCCTGTGGAGGGATTTAAGCTTTTGAGTATCCAAAGCAGATTTAGGAGTGTTAGACAAGCCATCCTTGGATGGATTACTACACTTCCCAGCAATTCTGCCAATGAAATTGAGAGATTAAAGGGTACGCTTTGTGAGATTGAGGCCTTAGGTGCTGATAGGGATTGGGATAGTTGAAGAAGCTGTAGGAACATGTTACGTGTTGCCTATAACAATGAGAAAGTTTATTGGCATCAAAAGGCTAGATTAACCTGGTTGAAGTGTAGGGACAAGAACACTAAATTCTTTCAGGCTTCTGTGAAGCATAGGAGGAGGGGGAATGGGTTGGATAACCTTTGTAATGGTGATGGTTCTAGGTGCAATAGTGACCAGGAGATCACTGAGATTTTGGAGATTATTTCTCTAACATGTTTAAGTCTTCTAACCCCAGTGTGGAAGATTGTTATATAGAGGGTATTGAAACTTCCATCTTCTCTGAGATGAATGCTGAATTAACTAAGGAGGTCTCTAAAAAAAGATAAGGAGGCCCTCTGTGACACGCATAAGGATAAAGCACCTGGGGACGATGGTCTTACTATTGGCCTTTTTAATAGTTCTTGGTCTATCATCAGATTTCAGATTTCAGATTAATGTGGGTGTTGCTAACTTCTTTCAGTGTGGGAAAATGCCCAAGGGCATTAACCATGCTATTATCACCCTAATTCCTAAGAAGAACAACCCTTGCCATGTGACTGATTTCAAACCCATTAGGGGGCGCTTGTTTATGGATTTTTTCAATCAAAATATTTCATTTTGTTAACTATAGTTAAAGTTGAAAAAGTAATGTGGTTAATTGTCAGTGGAATCTAAAAAATATATTAAAATAATATTTAAAATATAAATGATTAAAGTTGATTTGATATAAAGTAGGAGATAAATGATTGGAAATGATTGGTAGTTAAAATTATGTGAGTGGATGAATAGTGAATTAAAGTTGATGTGATGTGTAAGAATGATTGGTTTTTATTATTTAATTGTATGAATAATATTAAAGATAGTGGGGTTGAGTTAAAGTTGAGTTAAATATTTGAGTTGAAAAAATTGGATTGAAAAAATCCATAAACAAGCATGCCCTTAGTTTGTGCAATGTGATGTACAAACTCATAACCAAAGACCTTGCATGCTATTAAATAAATCTAATTCTGTATATAAATTAATTTTTAGATTTTAAAATAATATTGTTAATTCACTTAGTTTTTTATTACATTGTTTTATATATATATATTATTGCTCATTATTTGTCTTTTCCAATT